CAAGCCAATTCTAAAATTTATAGGAAAGAATAAGGGGACTAGAATTAACTGCCCTCCCAACCCAAATGGTGAAAAAAGATGAACAATGCAGTTGGTGGACCATACTGTCTGATATCAAAACTAACTATAAAGTTAGGGTAATCAAGACAGTGTAGTATTGGTGAATTGGTAGATAAATAGATGAGTGGAACAGCATAGAGTTAAAAATAGACACACATTTACCAGTTGATTTTCTACAATAGTGCAAAGACAATTCAACGGTAAAGGGATAGGCTTTTCTTAAAGATCTATTTTTTTAAGCAAGTTTGACCTATACCTCGTACCATATGCAAAAATCAACTCTAAATGGATAATAAATGTAAACTTATAAGCTATAACTATTAATCACCTGTTTTGTGGTACTTTTCAAAATCATGTATTAAATTTGTAGACACACACAAGGATATGTTTCTCAGCCATTTATCGTCTAGTTTTTTTGTACATGTTTTTTATAGTAATGCCATAATACTGTAATAACTATCATTTTGTCATATGGCTTTATGTTGGGTGAGACAAGTTCTCCCTCATTACCCTTATTTTGCTTTTTTACTTGAAAAGTCTATGCAGTCCAACTCATTCTTCTTTATTAGTCATCTGAATCAACTTTTCACTAGTATCATCAATGATATATTTACCAAACGAGTCTTTGCCTATTAGACCCCTGTGTAGCATTTGACATCATGATTACTCTTTCTTTGAAATTCTTCCCAAATGTGTACATAACATTTGTATTAGTCAGCTTGGGCTGCCATTGCAAAATACCTTAAACTCTCTTAAACAACATAAATTAATTTTCTTACAGTTCTGGAGGCTAGAAGTACAAGATCAGGTTGCCAGCATGGCCAGGTTTCGGTGAGGGCTCCCTGCCTGGCTTGTAGAAGGCCACCTTCTCTCTGTGTCCTCACGTGGGGGAGAGAAAGCTTTGGTATCTCTTATAAGGACACTAGTTCTGTTGGATCAGGGCTCCACCCGTAGGACCTCATGTAATCTTAATTACCTCCTTAAAGGCCCTATCTCCAATACAGTCAAATAGCAGATAAGGGCTTCAACATATGAATTTGGTGGTGGGACACAATTCAGTCCATGGCAATATTATTTTCATATTTATTTTATTGTATTGTAACTGTTTTGCTATCTCACTCCACTAGACTTTTGAGCTCCTTAAGGGTGGGGATTATATCTAATTTATTTGTGTATCTCTAATACTTGATACATAATAAGGCACCCAGTAAACATTTAAAATGAATAATGAGGCCGGGCGCGGTGGCTCAAGCCTGTAATCCCAGCACTTTGGGAGGCCGAGACGGGTGGATCACGAGGTCAGGAGACCGAGACCATCCTGGCTAACACGGTGAAACCCTATCTCTACTAAAAAATACAAAAAACTAGCCGGGTGAGGTGGCGCTGTAGCCAGCGGAGGGCGTGAACCGGAGGGTTGCAGTGACCGAGATCCCACTGCACTCAGCCTGGGACAGAGAACTCCGTCAAAAAAAAAAAAAAAAAAAAAAATGGCCGGGGCTCAAGCCTGTAATCCAGCACTTGGAGGCGAGACGGGGATCACGAGGTCAGGAATCAAGACCATCCTGGCTAAACAATGAAACCGCTCTACTAAAAAAAAAAAAAAATAGCCGGGCGAGGTGGCGGCGCCTGTAGTCCCAGCTACTCGGGAGGCTGAGGCAGGAGAATGGCGTGAACCCGGGAGGCGGAGCTTGCAGTGAGCCGAGATCGCGCCACTGCACTCCAGCCTGGGCGATAGAGCGAGACTCCGTCTCAAAAAAAAAAAAAAAAAAAAAAAATAAAATGAATAACGAGATGACATAATTCAGCTTGTGTTCCCGTCTTAGGTAATGGTATTACTATGTATCTGTCTTCCCAGGTTGTAAATCTCAGTCATTGTTTACTTTTCCCTTTTATACACCCTGTGTTCAACTATGTCCCTAGTACTAAGACTTTGACTTTCTAAAGGTCTTTCAAATCCATCCCTACTCCGGCTCCAGGGCTACATCTTTCCTATCATCATGTGTCAGATTGTTTTCATTGCCTCTTAACAGGATGTCTTAGTCAGTTGAGTGTTGCCATAAAGGAATACCTGAGGCTAGGTAACTTAGGAGGAAAAGAGGTTTGTTTGGCTCACAATTCTGCTGGCTGGAAGGTGGGCATCTGGTGAAAGCCTCAATCCTCTTCCACTCACGGCAGAAGGCAAATGGGAGTTGGCATGTGCTGAGATTACATGGAGAGAGGAAGCAAGAGAGTGGAGGGAGGTGCCAGGCTGTTTTTAACAAGCAGTTTTGTGGGAACTAATGGGTAAGTACTCATTCCTCCTCCCCAGGGAGGGCATTAATCTAGTCTTGAGGAATCTGCCTCCATGACCCAAACACTTGCCATTAGGCCCCACCTCCAACATTGGGGATCGACTTTCAACATGAGGTGTCGGGGGACAAACACCTAAACTACCGCACGGGATTTCTGGTTTCCAGTTTGGCCCATCCAATCCATACTTTGCCGCGAGATCAACTTTTCTAAAATGCCTGTCTAATCATATCACTACCTTTTAGTAACTTTCCATAGCTTAAGACTAACATCCTGAACTCTTACCCTGTCACAGTCTTTTGTGATCTGGCCTCTGCCTACTTAATTACCTCACAACTTCCCGATGTATTCATTATGCTCCAGCCTTAGTAATTCACCTACAGTTTTATAAATATATGATCCCATTTCATGCTTCTGCACCTGTCCTTCCCTCTTCTTGGAATACTCTTTTCAACTTCTGTATCTTATGATTTCTAAAAGGTGCTTTTAAAAAGGACTCTCCAACCATGGGCCCTTCCTGACCTGTTCCAGGAGAAATTAACCTGGTCATCTTCAGTCTTCCAATACAGCTTGTAGAAATCTGATTTTAGTGTATTGTAATTATTTGTAATTGTATTTATCATCCATACTAAATGATAAACTCTTGGAGGTTGGAGACCACATATAGTTGATTTTTATATTCTCAAATCGAACACACAGTAGGTACTCAATAAATGTTTGCTGAATGAATGAATTAAATATATAGCTTTAATGTTAAAAGTGAATATTTTATTTAGTCAACAACCACTGTGTGCTGGGCACTGTGCTAGATGCTGGGGCAAAGGAGAATTATGGCATGTAGGTTACAATAATTGGCATTCTTTTTTTTTTGGAGACGGAGTTTCACTTTGTCACCAAGGCTTGAGTGCAGTGGCTCGATCTCGGCTCACTGCAATCTCTGCCTCCCGGGTTCAAGCGATTCTCCTGCCTCAGCCTCCCAAGTAGCTGGAACTACAGGCGCACGCCACCACACCTGGCTAATTTTTTATATTTTAGTAGAGACGGGGTTTCACCGTGTTGCCCAGGCTGGTCTTGAACTCCTGAGCTCAGGCAGTCCGCCCACTTTGACCTCCCAAAGTGCTAGGATTACAGGCGTGAGCCACCGCGCCTGGCCAATTGGCATTCTTTGAAGAAAAACTCTGAAAACAGACTGAATGCCATTTCTGTACAGAGGTGAAGTTCCTTTGTCTTTTTCCCTTCTATTAATTCATCCTTCATACTCCTTATTTTAAACCCCCTCCCAGAACTACTGTTCTGTGGCTGCAAATCTGACTACCTAGAATAAGTTAAGAGGAAGATCAGTATAGGTGGAATAGCAGGAGATATTTTAGTAACAGTTTAGTTATTAGTTTTTGATAAAAGTTTCTGATTTGTCATTTCTCCTATGAAAGTCATAATTACAAGGACTCATACTTTTCCAAAAGTACCTTTTTAAAAGATAGAGACAGTCCAGGTGCAGTGGCCCATGCCCGTAATCCCAATAGTTTGGGAGGCCAAAGTGGGTGGATTACTTGAGGCAGGGAGTTCAAGACCAGCCTGGCCAACATGGCAAAACCTTGTCTCTACTAAAAAAACAAAAATTAGCTGGGCGTGGTGGCACACACCTGTTATCCCAGCTACTCGGGAGGCTGAGGCACAAGAATGACTTAAACCCGGGAGGTGGAGGTTGCAGCGAGCTGAGATTGTGCCACTGCACTCTAGCCTGGGCGATCGAGCGAGACTGTCTTTTTTTTTTTTTTTTTGCTGGGGGGACGGAGTGTCGCTCTATCACCCAGGCTGGAGTGCAGCGTTGCCATCTCGGCTCACTGCAACCTCCACCTCCCGGGTTCAAGCAGTTCTCTGCCTCACCCTCCCAAGTAACTGGGATTATAGGCGTGCGCCACCACGCCCAGCTAACCTTTGTATTTTTAGTAGAGACGGGGTTTCACCATGTTGGCCAGGCTGTTCTTGAACTCCTGACCTCGTGATCCACCCGCGTCGGCCTCCCAAAGTGTTGGAAAATACAGGCGTGAGTCACTGCAACTGGCGAGACCCTGTCTTTAAAAAAAAAAAAAAAAAAGTGTATCAAGAAACCTGTGTTAAAGACTATGGCATCAACACTATAAATCTTAAGTTGCTAAGGTTCTGTACCTCTTAGACTGGGAGCATGAGCCCCCTGGGATCTGAGTTTCTAAGGTTGCTTTGCTTCTGTGGTTCTTGTTCCTATCGACTTTTCTTTCTATGAGTTACATGAGTATTCTCTACTACGAACCCCCAAAACCTAAATATTAGCAGAGTCTACAGCTTCTGCTGTGTGTCTGCCCTCCCTGGCTGAAATCTTGCCATGCTTCTCTGTCCTTTTTTGATCTTTAGCAATGACACCTGTTTTATCAGTTGCTGTTCCCCTACTATGAGTGAGGAATGATCAGTCCTCGTGATAGTGTCCATGTCTGAAGCAAGTCGTGCTCGTGGTCCTAGGCAATCATAGCATATGGACATGGTGTTTGGCAAGGGTGTGAGAGCTGTGGGCTGTGACCTCAGGCAGCTTTGTTCTCCCGGAACATTTTGAATAACTGCAGACGGGTGGTTTGGAGCAAATGAATGTTCTAACCAGAGTCTCTTTCTCATTGTAGAGTTGCCTCACTCACAGAGCTCTCCAACTGTCAGCAGCACCTGTACTAAAGTGCTCTATTTCACTGACCGGTCACTTACGCCCTTCATGGTCAATATACCAAAGAGGTGAGATTCTGGGATCATTATACTTCACTGTAAAGAAGGAAAGGAAGGCAGAACCTCATTAGTTACTGCCCATATGAGCAGCTGGAAGGTGTCTGAGAAGCAGTATAGTTAGATCTCACTATAGTGAGATGAGCCAGAGAGATAGAGATTCTAGTTTCAGCTTTGCCACTATTCAGTGGTATTATAAAAGACAAGTCATGATCTACTACTAGGTACAGGTACAACAATAGCACTTGCAATCCTGATAACTATGCAAATATTGCTCTGCATTTGGAAAAAAAATTTTTTTTTTTTTTTAAGTGTTCAAAATAGCTCCTGCTGATACAATGGATTGCAGCCTGACACTCACTCCAGGACTATGACTAATTGATCTTTGTTACTATTCAATGACTGCAACTAATCCCTATTGAGAAATTATGTTGAAAACCTTCCAAAAAGTTAATGTGCTTCCTTTTAAGGGAAATAGTTTTGAAATAAAAATATTTAAACTCTGCAACCAACTATTGAGAGAGGTTATAGGATTTTCCTTACCTAGACAGTCTGCTTATTTGGTCTGGGTTAGATGCCAGCTTCCTAAAGATGGAGGGATAAAGATGGTGATACTTGATTTGATTCTACCATCCTAGAGAATTGGGATATTGTAGCAAAGAAGAAAATCAAGAGAACTTTGATATGTTTATGGTTATTCAACAAATTTGATTTCAGGGACTTTATGTCTTATTTCCAGAGAAAAGTGATTTGGCTCCTGAAGCAATAAGTCAATTTTAAATTCTCACATCACCCCATATTTAATACTGTTTTCATTCCCTAGTGATGACAGGTTCTCCAGCCTCTGCTGTTTTAGTCATCTGGGTTATCAGGGGCAGTGACCTAATCAGGGGCTATTTCTGCTTATTGACTTTGGCAGGGGGCTGGGTTTAAAGTTAACATCTTATCTTTCCAGCTATTGATCAACAGTCTATGTTAGTGCTGTCTCTTTGTGTTGCAGGTTGGAGGAGGTGACGCTAAAGGATTTTAAAGCAGCTATTGATCGGGAAGGGAATCACCGGTATCACTTCAAAGCACTGGATCCTGAGTTTGGCACTGTCAAAGAGGAGGTAAAGAATCTCTGGGGAGTCTGTATGGTATTGTTTCTTTCTGAACCCTGAAGCCTCCTGTTCAAGCACTGGTGTCCAGAAGTACATGAATTCCCTGACCAGGTCGGTGGAATTTGCCAGAGCTTCAGACCATGGTCTGATTACCCTAGACAAGTGGTCATAGAATAGGCCAAGATGTTGATAGGTTCTTTAGTTGTAGGACTTCATCATTTGACTAAGAACTTGGATATAATTTTTATTTTAAATTATTTTGTTAGGGAAAATAAAGAACCTAAGACAATAAATAATTTTCCATCTGTAGCCAAATCTTAGAAAACTTCTTGCTTCCTATGTAGAGCAAAATAAACAGGCATGGATATATGGAACTGTGTATTTCTCATGATGAAATCAAGGAACTTCTAGGGAGTTATGTATGCTTATGCCCAAGTCCTTGAGTAAGTATTTTCTTAGCCTACGCGTCTCTTTCTAATCCATTTGTCAAAGACAGACTTTTTGGGGGGAATACAGTTCTGGGTTATATAGTATTACAAGTGGATTCACTGCAGTTACAGAATGAAAAAAGTTATTATAGAAAAAGTAAAATTTTATTTTGTAAACATTTCCTCAGTGAAATGTTTTAATAACCCTGTTTTATTAGTGGCTTAGGAAATGAGTTGAATGAATTAATGAAAATAACTGCCATCTGAGAAATATGTTGAGTCTTTTTTCCCCACCCTTTCTTTATATTGCCTGGTACCTAAATTTTCTACTTTCTCATTTTTAAAATACTTACACTACTTCTTTTCTCTAAGAAGCCCAAAGTACTTTGTGACTGGTAATTTATTAATTCTTTTTTTTTTTTTTTTTTTTGAGAGGGAGTCTGGCTCTGTCGCCCAGGCTGGATTGCAGTGGCCGGATCTCAGCTCACTGCAAGCTCCGCCTCCCGGGTTTACGCCATTCTCCTGCCTCAGCCTCCCGAGTAGCTGGGACTACAGGCGCCCGCCACCTCGCCCGGCTAGTTTTTTTTTGTATTTTTTAGTAGAGATGGGGTTTCACCGTGTTAGCCAGGATGGTCTTGATCTCCTGACCTCGTGATCCGCCCGTCTCGGCCTCCCAAAGTGCTGGGATTACAGGCTTGAGCCACCGCGCCCGGCCAGTTTATTAATTCTTACAAATCTCTATGAGCAAAATAGTATTAGGGATTTTTTAAAACCATTTCATAGGTCTGGATCTAAGAAAAAAATAAAATATCAGTTGCAGTTCTAGGGAAAAGACCAAAAGGACATAGACTCTTAACTCAAGGCTTTCTTCTATATGTTCAAGGTCTTATTTTTATTAGCAGCAATTGTTTAGTGAGATTCCCTGTTTTTCCTTGTGGCTTTTTTTTTTTTCCTCTAGATTTTCCATGATGATGATGCCATCCCTGGATGGGAAGGGAAAATTGTAGCTTGGGTGGAAGAAGACCATGGAGAGAATTAATGCCAAGTATCAGATTGAGGGCTTATGGAACCTGGTCACTCCCTGGCTGCTTCACTCAGGAAAGGGAACTAAAACCAGAATACGCTAAGAAGTTTCTAGTTTGTATGCCAAAACAGAAGCTTCTCCAAGTATGATGGCCACAGGTCAGTCCTATTTCTGTGCCTGGCATATCTGGTACTTAAAATTCTGTCCAAATGTAGACCATGGGTTCATCTGGAGTTCCTTGTCCGTGGGAACACAGTGTACTATTCTACTCTGAGGACAACAAACCGAAGGCCTTAAACGATGGGGATGGATGATCCCGCCTCTATAGGGGCATGGCTGCTATTATCTGGAAACTAGGAATTGGATGCATCACTCCTGTGTGTTACAGTATTATTTTAATTGGCCTCAATGGTTGCAGCAATCAGAGTCCCAGCGTTTGTACTCACAGACAAGGCAAAGGTACCAGCTTTTCTGTTTCTTTGAACCTACTGCAAACCAAGAATAACTCATGAGGTGGTACCAAAGATGAAAGCCCAGTCTTCAGTAATCTTTTGAACCGGACATGGATGGTGCTGAATTGTTGCTTGGATGGAAAAAGGGCTGCCCATATTGTGCTACACTATGCTAAAACTGTAATTTAGTAAGACCTTGGGCTGCCTCTTCTGTCTTAACTGGTTCTGCAGCTTGTCCTTTTGCCCACATAGGGCCTATTATGTACTGTTAGTTTTCTCTGGGGACTCTCTAACTTTAGAGCCATTTCTTTTTCTTCAAACTGATGAACTTTGTGTTTGAAAGGCCTAAGGAGTGAAAAGCTCCTTGAAAATCCAGGCGGGTATGGAAAGGTGCTGCTACCCATGTCTTTTTGACTTTCTTTGTTTCATGACTTTAACTCATGGCATCTCCTTTGTAGTAAAAGGAGACAGACCATTAATTTCAGCATTTCTTTGTGATTTATAAGTACTGAGCATGAAATACTTGTCTGCCCCTCCACATTTCAAGGCCAGTTATTTTCTATTTATGTATTTAGTCTAGGCTGATCCTTTAGGGCACAATAGAAACCATGGGGCGTGGAGCATGAGTTGTGAATGGCAGGGATCATTCTGGGTAAAAAAAACCTAGAATCATTTCTCATGTGCAACATTGTCAAGTGAAGAAGCTAACAGTTCAACTGCAGAGATTATTTGATAACCTGGGTTTTCTCATTCATCCATCAAGCACCATCAACCAATCAGCCATTATTATTTATATTATGTATTACCAAAAGCAGTCTGTCTGCCTGTGACCTCCAATGTACACTGCCAAACACAAGAGTAGGACACATCCCTTCTGGGTTCTTGACCTGTCTGTCTCCAATTCATCTCCCCTTTTCACTCCCTGGCTCACTCAACAAACTCCTCTTTAGAGCTCTGAGATGACATCTTGTTGTTTTATATAGATGTGTCTTTTAAAAATAGTTCATGTTTGGAGAATTCTTTTGTATTCATTTGCTTTTTGTCTGAGAACCATGTCTATTTTTATAACTGGAGTGTGAGTTCTGTATCTTCTCACATTCTGTATACTGTATCCATTTTCTAGAGAACCCAGTAGCTTTTATACAGTCTCTTCTTACCACCCCTTGTGGTTTCAGAACAAGCTTTATTTTATTACGAGTATACTAATGACAACTAATTCCTGTTCCAACTCTACCTGTTTTAGTTGTGAAGGTAGTTTTGTGTAATCCAGTTGATTGCTCCTCTGGCAGAATGAAGGAGCTCAAAAGACACTTGATGTCTTTCATGTAAGTTTACCTGGTCTTTTCCTATTGAAGAATTTTTCATCAGAAACGATTGGGAAAGTTTGGGAAAGTCAGCCAAAAGAAAGAATTCATTTCGAAAGCAAACAGAAGAAAATAGTATATTCTCTCAGTTTTTCCCCAAGAAGTCTGGAGAAAAAGTCCTCATGTCACCAGTTTCTCTGTTGCATGAATTTTAGTGTTTTGCTATAAGACAGCATGAGGGCTATCAGGCCAAAATTCATTATTGTATTTCCAATACAGTTTGTCTTGAATGTCTCTTAAACCAATTTTTACTTGTCAGTTTTCTCTCAGCAAACAGTCTTACTGTTACGTGGAATTTTAACTTTTCAGAGAAAATTTCCAAAGTCCTCTACCTTATTTGGCTTTTATCTCTGTCTTTTGGAAAAGGAGCTGCATGGCCTCAGTGCCTCCATAACAAGCTAAAGTTGAGTTCATGGGAGAACATTGACATCATTTTTTTCCCCTTTAGCTAGGTAATCTCATATACCACAGGTACATGACCAAGCATCTCTGCTAGAGGATGTACCTCTCATAACTCCTGTGTAAAATGAGGATCCTGTTGGTGATTTTCATTCCAGTTTCCAAAGCGAGAGGAGCCTTCTGAGCAGAAGTATGCAAGACTGATTCTGTCTGGAATTTCCTATTTGGCTGCATTCTAGGAGGCCTCCTGACTTACTCATAGTATTGTGCCCTGGTGGCACTGGTGGGGTAGCTTGTCTTGCTACTTGCTAAAGTTCTATTTCTTTGAGAAAACTGAGGAACCAGAATGCTTAAGAGTTCATAAAATAATCTCTAAACCATGTTAGGTTAAAACAAAATGACCATCTCACAAAAACAAGTTTAGTTGAATGCTCAATTCCTTAAAAAAATCTTCATTTAAGGCTGAGTGTGGTGGCTCATGCCTGTAATCCCAGCACTTTGGGAGGCCGATGCAGGAAGACTGCTTGAGCCCAGGAGTTCAAGACCAACCTGGGCAACATAGCAAGACTCCATCTCTACCAAGAAATTTTATTACAAAAGTAGCTGGGGATGGTGGCACATACCTGTAGTCGCAGCTACTCAGGAGGTTGAGGTGGGAAGATTGCTTGAGCACAGGAGTTTGAGTTTGCAGTGAGCTAATCATGCCACTGCACTCTAGCCTAGGCTACAGAGCAGGACCCCATCTCCAAAAAAAAAAAAAAAAAAAAAAAGTCATTTAAAAACTGAAGAATGTTCTCTTCTTGCTCAGTTCCCTAAATTAGCTGGGGAGATTGGGACACTTTACAATTTTTATATTTTTAAATTTGAAGAATTTGTTTTAAACTTACTTGGTTACGGCAATTCTACTTAACAACTTTTCAGCTCTTTTTGACCAGGATGGTTGCAAATTAGGGAAAATATCTTTATACTCTATATCCAATCCAAGAGGACTGTAATTACTTAAAAGCATTTAGGTCATAATTAAAATTATTTTCACTGTTTCCATAAAATAAGCATTATGATTGCACACTCATTCTGTCTGAATTTACGTAAGAGGTATAGCTTGCTTAAAATACATATATATGTAAAGTTATATTTTCTTAGAAACATGGATGTTTGCAGCCATTGCTTTCAAAGAGATTATTACTGTGTATTCTCCCTGTTTTACAATATGTTTTCATGAAGACTTTGTTACACCAGAGGCTTCTGATTATGAAAGTGATAACCAGTTTTAACTGCCAGTATGTACCAGATTTGTGAACTAATTTAAAAAACCACGAACTATGAATAAAATGGAGTTTGCAAACTAAATATCATTAATGATTTTCACTTGTGTTTATTGATGAGATTAATCAATAAAGCCATTTACATTTAGTGAAAACAAATTTCCTCAAGTGATCTCCCTGGCAGCATGTTTACTCACTATGTGGAGTGGAGATAAGGATTACTTTATTGCCACAGATATTTTACAATTAGTATTTCTGTGTAAGTACATAGGCTATTTCAAGGACAATTTATTTAGCAATTATTTTGAAATTATATGTAAACATGCAAACAAATAAGAACCCAAGAGTATAAACTCTATGACAAAAGTCATGTATGCAAACATTAAGAACTCTTTCAGAAATGTGTATTTAAAATGACCAGAATTCCCAAATCATTTGAAAGCTGCCTGTTAAATGCCTCTTATCACTTCAACTTAAATGTTTGCTATATTAAATTCTTTATCCCTGAGTGCCTTCGACTTCCAATTATGTATTTTCAACTATTAATTTGCTATCCCATTATGTTAAAATTAAATATGTACATAACTCAAAATCTTTCACTACCAACTAATTTCTCTTTCTCAGTATCAGTGATACCACCATTCTAAGTCTCTCTACTTCAAACCTTTGAGTCTTGAGTCTCCTTTTCCATAATTTCCTTTATCCAATCTGTTTAGTAGAATTCAAGCTTGTTCTCTCAGGACTGATCTGACAAACCTAAACATTCCTAGCCCACCTTTGGTGTAAGCTTGCCATCTCTGGACTGTTTGAGCTATACATTCCTATAATTTAGCTACACTTAAGTCAAAACTATATTCAGGGCACAAACTCACTATTCTGTGAAAAATGCAAAACAGGGTTTAAGCAAGCATACCTAAGTGCACAGCAGATCCTGCAGATCACCTCATACTTTATACCAAAGGCTAATTTAGATCCAGTTATTGTCAGGCCTCTGAGCCCAAGCTAAGCCATCATATCCCCAGCGACCTGCACATATACATCCAGATGGCCTGAAGCAACTGAAGATCCACAGAAGTGAAAATAGCTTAACTGATGACATTCCACCATTGTGATTTGTTTCTGCCCCACCCTAACTGATCGATGTACTTTGTAATCTCCCCCACCCTTAAGAAGTTTCTTTGTAATTCTCCCCACCCTTGAGAATGCACTTGGTGAGCTTCACCCCCTGCCCCCAAACATTGCTCTTAACTCCACTGCCTATCCCAAAACCTGTAAGAACTCATGATAATCCCATCACCCTTGCTGACTCCTTTTTTGGACTCAGCCCACCTGCACCCAGGTGAAGTAGACAGCCTTGTTGCTCACACAAAGCCTGTTTGGTGATCTCGTCACATGGACGCGTGAACAGTTATTAAGTTCAAATGCAGCAAAAGCAGCAAGATATTTTAGCCAACTCAAAAACATTTTTATAATAATTTGTAAGTCCTGGACGGGCTTGTGGCTCACCCCTGTAATCTCAGCACTTTGGGAGGCCGAGGTGGGCGGATCACCTGAAGTCGGAGTTTGAGACCAGCCTTACTAACATGGTGAAACCCCCTATCTACTAAAAATACAAAATTAGCTGGGCATGGTGGCACGTACCTGTAATCCCAGCACTCGGGAGGCTGAGGCAGGAGAATCACTTGAACCTGGGAGGTGGAGGTTGCAGTGAGTCGGGATCATGCCACTGCACTCCAGCCTGGGTGACAGTGAGACTCCATCCCCAAATAATAGTAAAAATTTATAAGTCCTTTCACTAATTACAATTATTCTTCCATTGCTTCTTCCAATTGTTAATTCATAAATTGTACATAATTGTAACAATATAATTGCCCTCCTCTTCATACTATTTCAAATAAGCCTTTTCATTTAATCTGGAAATTTTATATTTCTCAATTATATTGCTTACATACTATTCTGATAGGCAACTGTACCTGCTTAAACATTCCAATTTAAGTAGGCATGAAACAGTATATCCAATCTGTTTTACTTTTCCAAATTAATTGTTAGCAAGATTAGGATTTTTTTTTTTTTAATTTTTTTTTTTTTAGAGATGGTTGTCTCACTATGCTGCCCAGGCTGGTCTCAAACTTTTGGGCTCAAGCGATTCCCCAACCTCAGCCTCTCAAGTATTGCTGGGACTACAGGCATGCACCACCGCTCCTGGCTAAAATCTTGTTTTAAACAATTTTTTCCTCCAACTTCTTCTTGTGTTCTTGGTGTTCTCTAACCATCTGTACACTGGGGAGGCGGTGATACACAGCATATGCTTCCTCCTTATTTAATGTCACCTTCAGTTCAGAAACGATATGTTTCCTATTTAAAAGACAACTTTACAAGAGAAGCGTACCTAACAAAACGTCTAGGTGACTTTTTGTTCATTGATTCCAAAGACACAATCAGCCCCCGCTATTTAGTGGATACTAAGCTCTGAGGCTACATGGAAGAACCACGCAGGCACTCTTCCTGCCTTCAACAGCTTACAGTTAAGTTTAGGTAGCAAACATTTGAAACATAACGAAGCTTTTGGTTACTTAAAAGAATTCTATGGTGTTAGGGGGTAACACAAACCTGTTTTGTAAACCTGTATCTTTATACAGGGAATATGCTTAATCTTGCTACAGTATACAGGAATGTGGGAATGTTTCTTCCTCTGGGCTGCCTTTCGTACCACCTGGCTGGATGGAACACCTGTTCACTCCACTTTCCACTTGGGCTACAAACCTGAAATGAAATCTTTGCAACCAGTACAGCCTGCGCGGGGCGGGGCCCAGTCCTTCCCCCTTCGGATGCGCAGAAGCAGAGGTCACCACGCTGGACCCCTCGATTTCCTCGCGGGCGGTTCCCGGCTCCTTCACCACCCCAGCGCTTCAAGACCCCCGCCCTTTGGCCTGAGGCTCCCACTGCCCTAGCCAGTTCCCGGGCTCACTTCCAGCTTTTCCAGAAAGCTTGGCCACGCCCCTCGGCCCAGACTCTCAGGCCACTCGGCCGCAATTAACCCTCGTCTCGGTGCCTTTTTAGGCCCCTCCCTCTCAGTCGTGCCCTTCCCATGTCTTAGGCCCCGTCTCACCCTTTCGGATGCCTCCCCTAGGACCTTACCACTTTCCACCCCTTTCCGTCTGTTATTTGTCCCCAACTTGCGCCCGCACAGGCCCCTCTGGAACGCCCCTGCCGCGTGAGTGCCCCTCGTCCCCGCTCAGGGGAGGAAAAGCCTGCGTGCCGCGCATTTCTGGCCTGGGGAGCGGGTGGAGTAAACCTGCGGGAACCATTTTACGACAACGTGCGGCTGTGCGGCGTGGCTGACGGCAAAGCCGCGCTGCTGTTGGAGAGGTCACTCCGGAGACGGCGTTGGTGTTGGGGTGTGGGGGGTTGGTGGCACTATGTGGCGCGTCTGTGCGCGACGGGCCCAGAATGTAGCCCCATGGGCGGGACTCGAGGCTCGGTGGACGGCCTTGCAGGAGGTACCCGGAACTCCACGAGTGTCCTCGCGATTTGGCCCGGCTCCGGCTCGTCGCAACAGCGCGACTACAGGGTATGGAGGGGTCCGGGCACTGTGCGGCTGGACCCCCAGCTCTGGGGCCACGCCGCGGAACCGCCTACTGCTGCAGCTTTTGGGGTCGCCCGGCCGCCGCTGTTACAGTCTTCCCCCGCATCAGAAGGTGAGCCCTAGACCCGCCCTTCTCGGATCTCCGTTGTCCTTCAGAGCTGACTGGATGCCTGCAGGATCCTCCTTGAGAGGCCTCATTGATCCTCCAACCATTCCCAGTATCTGCTTTCGTCCTTTGTCCAGTAGTCAGCTTTGGTTCCTTAGCTTCCCTCTCATGATCTATTCCGTTGAAACTATTCCGTTGAAAGGGGAACTTCAAGACTGGGGCTGTATGCAATTATCTGCCGAGGTTCATGCTTTGTGAGACCCGTAGGACTGTGGAGCAGAAAGCCTGTCACTGGAAATTACTAACTTCTCATGGGCAGAAACTGCCTTGGTATCCCTAGTTCCCAGTGTGTAATGGAACTGGATACACTTTGCATGAAATTGAATTGAATGAAATCTTAAGCCAGACTGAGAGTTAGGTAGCCCTTTAAAAATTTAATGTTTCTTCTTTTTCTCTTCCAGGTTCCATTGCCTTCTCTTTCCCCCACAATGCAGGCAGGCACTATAGCCCGTTGGGAAAAAAAAGAGGGGGACAAAATCAACGAAGGTGACCTAATTGCAGAAGTAAGTTGTTTTAAAATAACGGAGATGAGTTCGAAGAGACTGGCTTTGCCGAATTGACTGAACATTGACTTTCTGGATGTGTAGTTACCCCTTTGTTTAAGAAACTGAAGTGTTTTTCACAACTTGATGTTAGACAAGATTGGTTGGATAAGTTGCCAGCAGCTGGCCAAACTGATACTTAGCCAACGCGTTTCTAAAGTAATTTCTTCTTTCAAATCTGTCGTAGTGGCCTTATCGTCACATGAACTGTATCATTCTAGACACAGAGGCCAAGCTGGCCAACATGGTGAAACCCCGTCTCTGCTAAAAATACAAAAATCTGCTGGGCATGGCGGCCTCTGCCTGTAATCCTAGCTACTCGGTAGACTGAGGCAGGAGAATCGCTTGAACGTGGGAAGGGGAGGTTGCAGTGAGCCGAGATTGCACCACTGCACTGCAGCCTTGGCGACAGAGTGAGACTCTGTCTCAAGAAAAAAAAAATTCTAGACACAAGCTAATAAACTACATACCGACAGTATAAAGCTGAGCTGCTGCTTTTTGTGTTAAAAGGTTGAAACTGATAAAGCCACTGTTGGATTTGAGAGCCTGGAGGAGTGTTATATGGCAAAGATACTTGTTGCTGAAGGTACCAGGGATGTTCCCATTGGAGCGATCATCTGTATCACAGTTGGCAAGTGAGTAGTGCACTCATAATTTATGGAACTTCATTGCTTGGTGGAGTATTTTACCCAGAATTGAGAATTAGGAGTTAAAGACTATTTTTTAAGACTACTTTTGTGAAAGTTGAATCTGCCCATTATATTTATGCATTCTTTCTCTTCCTTAGGCCTGAAGATATTGAGGCTTTTAAAAATTATACATTGGATTCCTCGCCAGCACCTACCCCACAGGCGGCCCCAGCACCAACCCCTGCTGCCACTGCTTCGCCACCTATACCTTCTGCTCAGGCTCCTGGTAGCTCATATCCCCCTCACATGCAGGTGAGGCTCAGCCTTTGAGTGTTTGCTCTAGGTGATTTATTACTTACTTTTTTTCATAGATGGCTACTACATCTTGGAAACTGACTTTAAATGTGGTTAGTTAGGTCTTGTCATTTGGGAGTATATAGAAATTTAAACATGAAGATTGACAACTTTTCTTCCTGGTTGTTCTTTCCAGTTATAAGAACTTGAACAGTTCCTGTAACCTTTCTCAGCCTCAGTGTAGTACACAGGGTAATTCGTGGCACTTTTCATTCAAGAACATTACATTACAGATTTTGAGGATGATTTTTACTAACATCTATTCCCTGTATAATTAGAGTTTATAGTAGGCTGTGTTAGTCTGTTTTACTCTGGCATAAAGAAATACTTAGGGCTGGGTAATTTGTAAAGAAAAAAAGGTTTATTTGGCTCATGGTTCTGCAGGCTGTACAAGAAGCACGGCGCCAGCATCTGTTTCTCTTGTGGCCTCAGGAAGCTTACAATCATGGTGGAAGGTGGAAGGGAAAGGGGAAGGGTGGTGTGTCACATAATGAGAGAGGGTGCAAGAGACAGAGGGGAGTGGGTACCAGGCTCTTCATAGCAATCAGATTTCCCCTTAACTCATTACCATGGGGCATGCACCAAGCCATTCATGAGGGATCCTCCTCCAACACCCAGACACCTCCCACCAGACCCCATCTCTAACACTGGGGATCATATTTTTTTTTCCACCTAGAAAAAAACTTTATTTACACAATCTTGGATTCTGAATTTCCGATACTTCCAGGGTCTCTTGATCAAATGGGGCCGCAGCAGGTAGGGAAGCAAACACAGGGGCCCGTCCAGATTATCTTACTGAAGAACACCACCAAGAAGAAGGGAAGGCCTAATTCAGTTTTGGTCTGGACTACATCTCCTCGCACTTTGAGATCACCACAGGTAGCTTGGGCTTATTGTTAGGGCCTGTGGGAACATTCTCAATCTTTCTCATCACTAGAAGTCCATCGATGAGTTTTCCAAACATTATATGCTTCCCATCCAGCCAATCGCACTTAGAGCAGGTGATAAAGAACTGACAGCCGTTTGTACTGGAACCACTGTTTGCCACGGAAAGCAGGCCTGGAGCTGAGTGTCTTAAGTTTAAAATTTTTGTCTGCAAATGGCTCCACATAATTACTGGTGACTCCAATACCATCTCCAGTAACAAAATCTCCACCCTGAGTCATGAAATCCTTTATGACCCTGTGGAAAGTGCTTCCTTTGTATCCTATTGGAACCCCATCTTTTCTGAATTCTCTAGTGTAGAACTGCGCAAAGTTCTCGGCCATCTTAGGCACAACTCTGCAAAGAGCTTGATCTTTGTGCGGCCAACTTCCTGACTGCCATTGCTGACATCAAAGAACACCATGGGGTTAGCAGGGCTTGAATTTGCCACCACCCGTGGCTCCGACCGGGAAGCAGAAGTCAGGGATCGTATTTCAGCATGAGATTTGGAGGGGACAAACATCCAAGCTGTATCATAGGTGTCAAGTGCTGTCTGTTGAATGAAAGTCCCCAATTGGTGTTCTTTTGACATGTGGTGATCTATTTTCCAAGAGTAGGTGAAGTAATCCAGTAGTATTAATAAATGAGAAAACTGATAAAAATTAAGTGTAAGATACACATAGGTAATAGCGTTGCAACAAAGTTGAAGGCAGTGAATGTAATCACTGTTGATTGTGCTAACTAAATCAGTTTCTAAGAAACTAAGTCAATTTATTAGGTATTAGGGTTATCTTCTGTATATTTGTGTGCTTTAGATGTTACAAGTGGATAAAAATCCAGCCATCCTTTTCTAAATAATTCTGACTAGCATTTCTCCTAAATCTAGTTTATTTGTAGAAATTTTTGTATAGGAATCATTTTCTTCTTTGGAAATAACGTTCTACTCCGTGGTTTGTTAGTAACAATCATTTAGGATTTTTGCCTGGTGTTCAGTTCACACATGTATTACATGCTGTTCGGCAGATTCTCTCTCATGATACAAGACTGACTGACTTTTCCTCTACTTTGTGCCTGTAGCTTTGTGTGCATGTGCTAGGGTTTTACCTTAATTATTCTTTAAGATACTGAATTGAATTCTGAATCTCTGATACTGTTCTTTAAGATCCTGTATAGAGATTATTGACTTCACTGTTGCTTTTTTTTTTTTTTGAGCCTGTCACCCAGGCTGGAGTGCAGTGGCGCGATCTCGGCTCACTGCAAGCTCCGCCTCCCGGGTTCACGCCATTCTCCTGCCTCAGCCTCCCAAGTAGCTGGGACTACAGGCGCCCGCCACCTCGCCTAGCAAGTTTTTTTGTATTTTTTAGTAGAGACGGGGTTTCATGGTGTTAGCCAGGATGGTCTCAATCTCCTGACCTCGTGATCCGCCCGTCTCGGCCTCCCAAAGTGCTGGGATTACAGGCTTGAGCCACCGCGCCCGGCCTTCACTGTTTCTTAAGAAGCAGATGAAGATGGCAAATTCTGAACAAAAAAGGCACTTACAATTTTTTTTCTAAGGCTTGTCTTAATTTTTTCCCCTCTCTGGAAACATCTTCAATTGAAATTATTTTCCCCTCCGCATAATCCTGTTGCTAATCAGATACAGAAGACAAAGAGGATAGCAAATGAATCCAAATTCAGTGGACACACAAGCCATATAAATAGTAAAGCAATTTTAAATTTAGATAGGCATTCTGGTGTTTGGATTTTATTGGGGTGGAAATGGCTATTATAAAAACAGGGCTTTTTTTCCCCCTGGTTTTTTATTTTTATTTATTTATTTTTTTGAAACAGGGTCTCAGTCCATCACCTAGGCTGGAGTGCAGTGGTGCGATTTTGGCTCACTGCAACCTCTGCCTCCTGGGTGCAAGCGATTCTCCTGCCTCAGCCTCCCGAGTAGCTGGGAATACAGGCACACACCACCACGCCTGGCTGTTTTATTTTTTGAGACAGGATCTCACTCTTCACCCAGGCTGGAGCGCAGTGGTGCAATCTTAGCTCACTGCAGCCTTGACCTGGGCTCAAGCCACCCTCCCACCTCAGCCTCACAAGAAGCTGTGACTACAGGCGCATGCCACCGTGCCCAGCTAATTTTTTTTTTTTTTTATATAGACGAGGTTACACCATGTTGCTCAGGCTGGTCGTGGACTCCTGGGCTCAAGTGATCCTCCTGCATCAGCCTACCAAAACGCTGAGATTGTAGGCATGAGCCATCATGCCTGGTCTTTCCTGTTTTGTTTTTTTTTTTTTTTGACACAGTCTTGCTCTGTCACCATGGCTGGAGTGTCGTGGCACGATCTCGGCTCACTTCTACCTCTGCGATTCTCATGCCCCAGCCTCCTCAGTAGCTGGGACTACAGGCAGGTGTTACCACGCCCAGCTAATTTTGGTATTTTTAGTAGAGGTGGGGTTTCGCCACGTTGGCCAGGCTGATCTTGACCTCCTGGCCTCAAGTGATCTGCCCCTCCCAAGTGATTCTTGGCCTCCCAAAGTGCTGGGATTACAGATGTGAGCAACTGTGCCTGGCCTCCTCTTTTGTTTTTTAAAATGATCATTGCGCCACTGCACTCCAGGCTGGGCAACAGAGTAAGACTCTGTCTCAAAAAAAAAAAAATTATCAAATAAAATTCTATGTAAGAATTCTATGTATATATATTATATACAACAAGTTCTGAAATATGTATATATTGTGGAATGGCTAAATTGAGCTAATTTATATATGCATTACTTTACAGACTTATCTTTTAGGACACTTAAAAATCTACAAGATTGTAGGAATTTACAAGAATACAATATATTGTTATTAGCTGTTGTCACCAAAGAACAGTTTTTTTTGTTGTTGTTTGTTTTTAATATGGAATGTTTCATGAATTTGTTTGTTGTCCTTGCACAGGAGCAATGCTAATCTTTGTATTGTTCCAAGTTTAGTGTATGTGTTGCTGAAGCGAGCACAGAACAGTTCTTAATATTACATTTTTATCTTGGAAAGATATCTGGGAAGATTGGGACAAATGCAGTTTCCTGTGGGTAAAATATAAGTAGATGCTAAGTCCAGAGCGCAGTAAAATTTTAACAGAATGGATTGGACCAAGGTCATTTTGTGAAAATGAAAATTTTCTTGGTTAAAAAAAAAAATGAAGTCTGGGTGCGGTGGCTCACGCCTATAATCCCAGCACTTTGGAAGGCCAGGGCGGGCAGATTACTTGAGGACAAGTGTTCTGAGACCAGCCTGGCCAATGTGGTAAAACCCCATCTCTACAAAAATACAAAAGTTAGTGGGCATGGTGGCACCTGCCTGTAATCCCAGCTACTTGGGAGGCTGAGGCAGGAGAATCACTTGAATCCAGGAGGTGGAGGTTGCAGTGAGCCGAGATTGTGCCGTTGCACTCCAGCCTGGGTGACAGAGTGAAACTCTGTCTCAAAATAAAAATAAATATAAAAATAAAAATAGATGAAAAGATGCTCCATACTTAGATATTGAGGAATTAATTTTGACTGTCTGAAAGAAATCTTTCCCATCTGCTTGTTGCATTTAACTTGGAGTGTGTGTCACAGTATGGGTGAGAGTATAAGAGTATGGGTCAGAGTATGAGATTTGAAGGATGATTTACCTGGTGGGAAGCTATTGAGGTGCGAAGCTTTTGCCGTGATGAGTATTTGGATTATCATAGTCACCATCATTCTATGAAAACTATATAAACCTGCCAGACTGTTATTATGTAGAAGTCGTCCTGGTATTAAGCAATAATATGTGTATGTTTCTACAGGTACTTCTTCCTGCCCTCTCTCCCACCATGACCATGGGCACAGTTCAGAGATGGGAAAAAAAAGTGGGTGAGAAGCTAAGTGAAGGAGACTTACTGGCAGAGATAGAGACTGACAAAGCCACTATAGGTGAGATTTCTTCAGCTCTTAATGGTTGAGGCACTGAGTTTCCCAATGAGGAAGAGGATTGCCATTCTTTCCTATAATGAGTGAGTGAGATAATATGAAAACTTTTTAATTCTTAGGATTCATTTTCTGGGACAGAATATTTTATTTCTATTTAGTTATATTTAGTCTTAAGTTTTTATTTATTTGTTTATTTGCTTATTTTTGAGACAGGGTCTTAATCTGTTGCCCAGGCTGGAGTGCAGTGGCAAGATCATAGTTCACTATAGCCTCGAACTCCTGGGCTTATACCCAAACGATCCTCCTCCTTTAACCTCCCGAGTAGCTAGGACTACAGGCCTGAACCACCACACCCAGTTGATTTTTAAAATTTTTTGTAGAGTTGGGGTCTCACTTTGTTGCCCAGGGTGGCTTTGAACTCCTGGCTCAAGTGATCCTCCTGCCTTGGCCTCCCTAAGTGCTGGGACTCCAAGTGTGAGCCCATGTTCCTGGCTGAGAATAATTTATAACAAAAATAATATTTAGTCAGATTTGTCAGTTCCATCCTGCACTCATTGAATTAAAGGCAATAAATCTGTCAATTCACAGATTATTTTTAGGCCCAAGTTTGCTTCCTGGCCTTGTTATGTTACTAAGAAGCTATATCAGAACTGCTGCTGTCTAAACTAGGCAAGGGAATGCAAGAAGAAACAGGAGAAAATCACTTCCATGGCAGGATAATAGGAAAGAATTTAAGATGACTTTGAGGGAAAACTGAAACCAGGGTTGAGATTGTTTTCGTAGTTTGAGAATGACTGATAGAATGTACATGTGTTATATATATATATTCAGAGATGTCATATGTCCATATATCTCCTCCTTAATTCATTTTTAGACTAAAAAATAAAACCCATATAGACGGTCATATATTTATGATTTTTTTAAATGGATATTTGTAGGTATTATGAATTTTTTCTCTATGCACCTTTTTTTTTTTTTTTTTTTTGGAGACAGAGTTTTGCTCTGTTACCCAGGCTTGGGTACAGTGGTGCAATCTTGGCTCACTGCAAGCTCTGCCTCCTGGGTTCAAGCAATTCTCCTGCCTCAGCCTCCTAAGTAGCTGGGACTACAGGCATGCACCATAACACCCAGCTAATTTTTTGCATTTTTAGTAGAAATGGGGTTTCACCATGTTGGCCAGGCTAGTCTCGAGCTCTTTGACCTCGGGTGATCTGCCTGCCTCGGCCTCCCAAACTGCTGAGATTACAGGCATAAGCCACCGCATCCGGACACTCTGCTTCATAATCACCACTAAAGGAAAGTCTTTCCCAAAGATGTAATGGGAGGTACTGGGCATCCTCTGTTGTGGTTGTTTTCAGATTGTGTTCTTCAAATCCCATCATTCCTTGAAGGCACCTTGGGGCAAAGGGGAAATTAAAGAGCAAGACCTTATAATGCCCTGCCTCCCTCCCTTACTTCCAGTAGAGCAGTTCTTTTTTATCTTTTTGTATTTTGTGCTTCCCCATAAATTTTATTTGAAGAAAGGATTCTGTTTCTTAAAAACACAGAAACTTTGGAAACAATAGTTCTGCTTCACCATTTAACTTGAATACCAGTGTCACTGTAGAGACTGGTCACTAGAGAAGTGTTACCTTGGTTGATCTTTGAAGTCTGTTGTGGCCCAGGATCCTTTTCATTTTAAACATTTTATTTATTTTTGAGATGGAGTCTCACTCTGTTGTCCAGGTTGGAGTGCAGTGGTGCAATCTCAGCCTATCACAACCTCTGCCTCCCGGGTTCAAGCGATTCTCCTGCCTGAGCCTCCCGAGTAGCTGGGACTACAGGTGCGTGCCACCACGCCTGGCTAATTTTTGTATTTTTAGTAGAAATGGGGTTTCACTATGTTGGCCAGGCTGGTCTTGAACTTCTGACCTCGTGATATGCCTGCCTTGGCCTCCCAAAGTCCTGGGATTACAGACGTGAGCCACCACTGCTCCCAGCCTTTTTTTTTTTTTCTTGAGACAATCTTGCTCTGTCGCCCGGGATGCAGGATGGAGTGCAATGGCATGATCTTGGCTCACTGCATTCTCTGCCTCCCAGGTTCAAGCAATTCTCCTGCCTCAGCTGCCCAAGTAGCTGGGATTACAGGCACCTGCCATCATGCCTGGCTAATTTTTTGTATTTTTAGCAGAGATGGGGTTTCACCATGTTGGCCAGCCTGGTCTTGAACTCTGACCTCAGATGATCCACCCACCTCGGCCTCCTAAAGTGCTGGAATAATAGGCGCGAGCCACCGTGCTCAGCCTTAAATATATATATGTATATATTTTCCTTTTTTTTGAGTCGGAGTTTCACTCTTGTTGCCCAGGCTGCAGTGCAATGGCACGATCTCGGCTCACTGCAACCTCCACCTCCTGGGTTCAAGTGATTTTCTGGCCTCAGCCTCCCGAGCAGCTGGGATTACAGGCATGCGCCACCACGCCTGGCTAATTTTATATTTTTAATAGAGATGGGGTTTCTCCACATTGGTCAGGCTAGTCTTGAACTCCCAGCCTCAGGTGACCCACCCACCTTGACCTCCCAAAGTGCTGGGATTACAGGCGTGAGCCACTGCGCCTGGCCTAAAACATATTTTTTATTGGGTATTCTTAGTTGGGAAGTGGAAGGATTCATCAAAGAGAGGCACAACAGTACAGAAAGCCAATGGCTTCTTTTAGTTTTACTTTTGCAATCCTAAATGTTTGAGTTCTTTGCAAGGAAGGCAGTAGTTGAATAAAATGTAAGTTGTCAACACCATAGAAATCCTAGTAAAGCTATAATTCTTCACATTGAAATATTTGGTATAATATCAAGTATAACCTCTTAGAAAAGTTCCAAAGATGCTTTTAGGGCTGAAATCCAACATTAATATCTAGGTTGGTAGCTCCCTTAATTTGGCACGTATGTGGTTCTTGTTTTTTTTGTTTGTTTGTTTTTTTGTTTTTTTTTTTTGAGACGGAGTCTCGCTCTGTCGCCCAGGCTGGAGTGCAGTGGCCGGATCTCAGCTCACTGCAAGCTCCGCCTCCTGGGTTCACGCCATTCTCCTGCCTCAGCCTCCCGAGTAGCTGGGACTACAGGCGCCCGCCACCTCGCCCGGCTAGTTTTTTGTATTTTTTTTAGTAGAGACGGGGTTTCACCATGTTAGCCAGGATGGTCTCGATCTCCTGACCTCGTGATCCGCCCGTCTCGGCCTCCCAAAGTGCTGGGATTACAGGCTTGAGCCACCGCGCCCGTGTGGTTCTTATCTTTAGCAGCATAGCTGACTTCCAACTCCATCTTAGAGTCTTGTGAGTCTGCATGGGGGCTATCCTTGGAGATTTTTAAATAACTTTTAGAACTAACCACTATCTGTAATCTTTCATAGTTTTATTGAACACATATTTATTTATCATTTACTTTGGACCAGGTGCTATTTTGTACCAGGTAATATTATTTCAAAGAACTTGAAAAATATTAAATCCGTTTAAATGTATAAACATCCCTGTGAGATTGGCACTATTATTATCCCCATATTGTAGGTAAAGAAACCAAGACACAGAAGGTTAAATAGGTTGCAAAAAAGGTTATATAGCTAGCTTGAATGAGAAAAATCATTTTACTTAAAACTGTGCTATGAGTTTGGAGGGATAGTGTAATCTCTGAAGTCCCATAATGTTTTTTCTTTCTATTTAAGGTTTTGAAGTACAGGAAGAAGGTTATCTGGCAAAAATCCTGGTCCCTGAAGGCACAAGAGATGTCCCTCTAGGAACCCCACTCTGTATCATTGTAGAAAAAGAGGCAGATATATCAGCATTTGCTGACTATAGGCCAACTGAAGTAACAGATTTAAAACCACAAGCACCACCACCTACCCCACCCCCGGTAGGTATGCTTCTAGAATTCAGGAAACACTTAACCTTGTTTCTCTCTAAATTAAGGAGTTTTGATTAGATGATATCCTAGGTTCCTTCCACCTCCAAGATTCTATGACTAAGGAGGGAGATAGTTGATTAACCTTTGTGGAGACCTATAGTGTTTGTTGTACTGCATTGTTCACCTAATGATCGATAGTTTGGGCCTTGTAGCTTTTTTTTTTTCTGCCATCTAGAGTCCTGCTGAAAACAAAGCTGAGTGACATGCTCTCTTTCTGCTTTAGATGTAGATATCATGCTTGTGGAAAGTAAGGCTTCATTGCCCCAGCCCTTTTTTTTTTTTTTTTTAAAAGAGACAAGGTCTCACCCTGTCGCCAAGGCTGGAGTGCAGCGGTGCAGTCATAGCTCACTTCATTGCCCGTTTTTTATTAAATATACTGAATAATCTCTGTCACTTGAAATCCTGTTATTCACGTAGTAGGTCAAGCATATATTTCTGATACAGTGGAACCTTGACATGACTTCTTTTGCATAGAATTTATTATATCACAAAATACTTTATAATAAACTATAACATGAACTTGCATTAACTCCAACCAGAGATAACACTGACAGTGAAGCTTCTGCAGATGCTAGAATCGTGAGTTTAAGCTAGGTAAACATTTCTATAAGACAAAAGTTGATTTGTGACTACTCTACATTTGTGGGAAGCTGGCAAGTAGCATTGTTGTTGTATTTCTTTTTTTTGGTTTTGTTTTTTAATTGTTGTTGAGACGGATTCTCACTCCATCGCCCAGGCTGGCTTGCAGTGGCGCGATCTTGGCTCACTGCAGCCTATACCTCCCGGGTTCAAGCCATTCTCCTGCTTCAGCCTCCTGAGTAGCTGGGATTACAGGCGCCAGCCACCATGCCTGGCTAATGTTTTTATTTTTAGTAGAGAAGGGGTTTCACCATGTTGGCCAGGCTGATCATGAACTTCTGACCTCAGGTGATCTGCCCACCTCAACCTCCCAAAGTGCTGGGATTACAGGTATAAGCCACCGTACCTGACTATATTTTTTAAGATACTTTTCAACATGGGGCCTTACAGCATAATTTTTATATTTTGAAATTAGCTGGCTGGGTGTGGTGGCTCACGCTGGTAATCCCAGCACTTTGGGAGGCCGAGACGAATGGATCGCTTGAGGTCAGGAGTTTGAGACCAGCCTGGCCAACATGGTGAAACCCCATCTCTACTGAAAATACAAAAAATTAGCTGGTCATGGTGGTGCATGTCTGTAATCCCAGCTACTTGGGAGGCTGAGGCAGGAGAATTGCTTGAACCCAGGAGGCGGAGGTTGCAGTGAGCTGAGATTGCGCCACTGCACTCCAGCCTGGGTGACAGAGCAAGACTCTGTCTCAAAAAAATAAAGAAAGATGTTAGGATAATTAAAAATAAAAATTATGTTGGTGATGTAAAAGAATGCAAATAAAGAAGTGGTAAGAGATTAAAGTGAAGAAAGGCCATAGGATACTATACACTGATTGGCAATATTCAGTTCTGTGCTTCTTCATGTTGTTATGGAATAAAGTAACTTTGTTCTGTCTTTGACATAGATGTATATTGTTCTTGCTGTTCGTATTACTACATTATGTTGGTTAAACTGGAGAAAAGTACATTATGATCTTTGGAAAAAAGATGAAAGTTATTAATATTTAATTAAAATAGTTTTAATTTATTAATAAGATGTAAACTTTTAATCTTTCAGACCAATCTTTGAAGTGGTGAATTAAAACAATTTGTAATTTTTTTTTCAAAAGGTGGCCACTGTTCCTCCAACTCCTCAGCCTTTAGCTCCTACACCTTCAGCACCCTGCCCTGCTACTCCTGCTGGACCAAAGGGAAGGGTGTTTGTTAGCCCTCTTGCAAAGAAGTTGGCAGTAGAGAAAGGGATTGATCTTACACAAGTAAAAGGTAAATCTGTTTCTATGGAATAGAGTTATAAAGTTAAATTTAGTTGAATTTCCTCCTTAAGACTTGCAAGTATAACTATATATAGCCATACTTATAACTGGGATAGTAGGGACAACTGTTAATAATTACATCAGAAGGGAGAAATAGTTCTTTTGTTGCCACCACAGAGTAGGGAAACTTTTACTGAGCTTTATTTACTCTGCCTAGAATCTACCCATATACTTTAGATACCTTTTTTTTCCCTCTTCTCTTCATGGAAACTACTTGTTTGAAAGTATATGTACTTGTTCAGCAAAATTGGGTTATGGGACTTGATTGTGTAATAAGAAACCTCTGTTAGTGCTAGGTTGACTGTAGTAATAAGCAAAGCAAAATAAAATTTGAAATTGGGGTGATTTGGAATGACTTAAAATGATAAACTTCATATAAAACAGAACTAGAGGTCCCTGAAGGCAAGGGAAAATGCCTTACTTGTCTGTCTGTCCCCAAAGAAAAAATATAGCTTTGTGATAAGAGCATGGGGCCTGGAATCAGACCACCTAGCGTTTCATCCTGGCTTTATAATTTTCTATGTAATCTGTTTTCCAGTGAATTACTTAAATTGTATGTCCTTATGTCAATTACTTTTCTAGCCATAAAACCGAGGTATTGTACATCATATAGATTGTGAGAGTTAAATGAGCTATAACAGGTGAAGTGCCTAGAACTGTTATCTAGCATATAAGTACTCAATACATGCTTGTTGTCATTCATATTGATATTATTGCCTGGCGCTTAAGTAAGTTTTTTTGAGTTAAACCTAAGCTAAAATTTAGTGTAGGATAACTAAGGTACTTATTTGGAAAAGGAGGGAAGTTATTATTCTTGGAACTTGGTTTGATGGCTAGTACTATGTGCCAGTCATTTAACTTACCATACTTAATGTACACAACACTTCTTGAAGTAAGAATTATCATTCCCTATTTTCTGGATAAGAAAACAGACTCTCAGACTCTTCAGGGTTCTTTTTTCCTGTTAAATAGTAAAGTTGCAGTGTGACTCTAGATTTGTTTAACTCTAAAGCCTGTTTCTTCACACTACGCTATCCTGCCTTCCATTCTGATTCTCTGCCATCTGTAATTACTAAAGAAAAATATGCTTATTTCCCCAGTTGTCTAGTTATGGGTGCTCAGTGGTGGTTATCCCCTATCTGCAATTTGCTGTCTTGTAGTTAGAAGGCAAGCCAATCCCAAGACACAAGAGTAGAATGTTGTAAAGTTTTTGGACTTTAGAGATTCTTATAATATTGGAAGACTCTTTTTTTTTCCATCTTAGTACCATTTCGGTAGTATATTCCTATTCTTTATGTATATATGATTAGAATCAGGGACAGCAGTGTAAGTTGGAATAACTTTTAAAGGGAGAAAGGACTGGGTTAATAATTATATCTAAAGAATTTAGACAAGCAAAGAAGGACCATTTATTAGATATTAAGCAATACTGGTTACCTTACTAAAGATATAAGTGGAAAATCCCTTAGGCATGAGCTGAGGAGGAGTGTTAAGAAAAAAAAGAAGGAGGCCGGGCGCGGTGGCTCACGCCTGTAATCCCAGCACTTTGGGAGGCCGAGGCGGGCGGATCACAAGGTCAGGAGATCGAGACCACGGTGAAACCCCGTCTCTACTAAAAATACAAAAGATTAGCCGGGCGCGGTTGTGGGCGCCTGTAGTCCCAGCTACTCGGGAGGCTGAGGCAGGAGAATGGCGTGAACCCGGGAGGCGGAGCTTGCAGTGAGCTGAGATCGCGCCACTGCACTCCAGCCTGGGCGACAGAGCGAGACTCCGTCTCAAAAAAAAAAAAAAAAAAGAAAAAGAAAAAAAAGAAGGAAAGAAAATCCCACTATTCTTACTATGCAGGCAGAGTTAGGTGGTAAATACCATCGAATACTATCTACGCATCAGACACTCATTCATCAGATGGATAAGATTTCAGTTTCAGTTGCTTATATGACTAACAGTAAAGAATTTTTTTTTTTTTTTTTTTTTTTGAGACGGAGTCTCGCTCTGTCGCCCAGGCTGGAGTGCAGTGGCCGGATCTCAGCTCACTGCAAGCTCCGCCTCCCGGGTTCCCGCCATTCTCCTGCCTCAGCCTCCCAAGTAGCTGGGACTACAGGCGCCCGCCACCTCGCCCGGCTAGTTTTTTGTATTTTTTAGTAGAGACGGGGTTTCACCGTGTTAGCCAGGATGGTCTCGATCTCCTGACGTCGTGATCCGCCCGTCTCGGCCTCCCAAAGTGCTGGGATTACAGGCTTGAGCCACCGCACCCGGCCAACAGTAAAGAATTAAATGAACAGAAAGGGAGTATAGCATAGTGGTTAAAAGTGTGAGCTGTGTAGCTGGAATGCTTGGGTGTGAACCTCAGCTCCTTATACTAGCTGTGTGACCTTTTGTGTCGGTTTCTATATAAGTACAGTAGGTTTAATGGTTGTGAGGTTTAAATAAGTTAACCAGTGCCTGTACAGAGAAAGCATGTCTAGGTATTAGCTATAATGATAATATTTTTGTTAATAAGATGGTTTAAGTGCTAAGAAAGAAAGAAACTCAGTGATATACTAGTGAGTGAAAGGGTGGATGGATATTTGTGCAGTCATGACTACTTTTAGACAGGGTGGTTGGGAGATCTTTTTGATGAGGTGACATTTGATTTGATCTGAAAGATAAGAAGGAGGCGGTTTCAGTCAACCATGTGAAGAACTGGGGAAAGATCATTTTCGATAGAGAGACTAGCTGTACACAGTCCGAAATGGGAAAGAGTTTAGCATGTCTGAGGAACATAAAAGAGGCCAGTGTTGGCCGGGCGTGGTGGCTCACGCCTATAATCCCAGCACTTTGGGAGCCCGAGGCGGGCGGATCATAAGGTCGGGAGATGGAGACCATCCTGGCTAATACGGTGAAACCCCGTCTCTACTAAAAATACAAAAAAAATTAGCCGGGCACAGTGGCAGGCACCTGTGGTCCCAGCTACTTGGGAGGCTGAGGCAGGAGAATGGCGTGAACCCTGGAGGCCGAGCTTGCAGTGAGCTGAAATCGTGCCACTGCACTCCAGCCTGTGCGACAGAGTGAGACTCCATCTCAAAGGAAAAAAAAAACCAGAGGCCAGTGTTAATGAAACATAATGAGCAAAGGGTCTAGTAGGAGATGAGATTGGGAAAAAACAGGGATGAGAACATACATGATCTTATAGATTATGGTAAAGAGTTTGAATTTTATTTAAAGTACTTGAGGAAGCCATTGAAAAATTTAAGCAAGGAAGTGAAATAAAATGATTGTGTTTTAAAAAGATCATTTTGGTTGCTCTATGGCAGTGGATGAAACATTTATCTAGTTTATGTTTGACAAAATCCCTACTTTTTTTACCTATAGCCCAGTGTTCTTCCCTTTATACCATATTACTGTATGATGGCCTGTTGTGCCGCCCAAGAGAGATAGGGAAAAGGGTTTAAAAGGTTTCAACTAACGCCTGAGTCAGAAAATTCTTGTGGGTGGCAGAAGCTTAGCATAAGGCAGGCGGTACTATGGATTTCCTCCTCTTGAGGGGCTGTGGTGTCTAGATCAGCCTTGGTTGTAAGGGGAGGTTATGGTTTCTGTCTTTTATAAAGGAGAGAAATCCAACAGGGGTACTACTACCTCTGTTCTAGAGCTCCTGGTGAGAATAAATACAATCCTAGCCAACTCAGTTTTTGTAATGAAGGAAAGGACTTGGGAAGAACTACACACAACGAGAGTCCTTTTTAAAGTCTGTCTTGGGGGAAGATGAATCAATTTGACCAAATTTTTTCCTAGAAGTGGGCCAGTGTAAAAGGTATTATATAATAATAACTAAATTCTGAATCTCCTTAGAATTAAAGGTCAAGATTATCTACTTGGGTCCAAAATTAAACCTAAGAGGCTGTAGGTGGGAGGAAGGAGGAAATTGAATATAAGTAAAATTAAACCTACTGAGAGAACTTTGAAGATCCTTCCTCATGTGTGACATTGCACCTTTTCCCTTCATTTCCTTTAACCTGGGCCAGTTTAGAGCCTTGGCTACTGTGAAAAAGCTATGAATTATAGAGACCACATAAGGAATGAATGATTCTAAAGATGAGATAATCGCATATAAGAGTTATTCATGCTATTTTGGGTTGAAAAAATTGACTTGATTTGCCAAAACAATTATTGTTATACCTGTAAATTCTGTACAAAAGGAATTCTTTATGGTCACATAAATCCAGAACCCAAATGAGATCTATGATCTATTTCATGGCTCAGGAATGTTTTTTTGGAGCTAACCAGGAGGAGGCAGTTAATTTCCCTTTTGGAGATATAAACGGTGCTCGGCATTATCTTCATGCCAGCATTTCCCAATTTAAAAGTAAGGAAGATGAAAAAAATTAAGTACAACTTGGATAAAACTCTAAAAGAGAAATACATAAAGGAATATTTGCAATAGTTAAAAAGAAAAGACCCACTCCAGATCACACACTGGTACTCTGTGTGGATTAAAATTAATAGTTGACAAAAGCTGGTATTCATAGGGAGAACCTTAAGGGGTAGGGTTAAGGCTGTGATCCTCTCAGAATGTTTTTGGTAGTAAACCCTTAGGCGCTTGCAGTTTAGGATCACAGTGTTGATCTCCTTGGGGAACCAATGGTACGCCGTCATGTATGTGATATTTATGTCTCTTACAGGGACAGGACCAGATGGTAGAATCACCAAGAAGGATATTGACTCTTTTGTGCCTAGTAAAGCTGCTCCTGTGAGTTATGTGTAGCTCTTACTTTTTTTGCAGTTAGTCTCTGCAGCCTGTTAGACTATTTCATACATTATTTATGAATGAAATAGCTCAACCAAGACTGTTTTCTTCTAACTTCAGTGGTTTAATAATACAGTCATCCCTCAGTACCCATAAGAGGTTGGTTCCAGGAGCCCCCTTGTATACCAAAATTCACAAATACCTAAGTCTCTTATATAAAATAGTGTAGTATTTGTATATAACTTACCTACATCCTCTCAAATACTTTAAATCATCTCTAGATTACTTATAATATTAAATACAAGGTAAATGTGTAAATAGTTTATTTTATTGCTTAGGAAATAATAACAAGGACAAAAAGTCTGTACTTGTGCAGTACAGATGTAACCATCTTTTTTTTCCTGGAATATTTTTGATTTGCCTTTGGTTGAATCCAGTGATGCAGAACTTATGGATATGGAGGGCCAAGTGTATTTAGATATTTGTGTGCTATCATTTATACACAAGATCAAAGATGATATACTACCTTGACACATATTCCACATTATGTTTTGAGCTAATCAGTTTTTGCTTTGAAAAAAAAGATTTGTTCTTTTTTTCTGTTTCAAAATATTTTAAAGTACAGTTGAATGAGTTGTTTTTGGTGTTTGATTTTTTTGTATGTTTGTTTTTGAGACAGTCTCACTGTCGCCCAGGCTGGAGTGCAGTGGCACTATCTTAGCTCATTGCAACCTCTGCCTCCTGGATTCAGGCGATTCTCGTGACTCAGCCTCCCAAGTAGCTGGGACTACAGGTGCATGCCACCACACCTGGCTAATTTTGGTATGTTTAGTACAGACAGGGTTTCGCCATATTGGCCAGGCTGGTCACGAACTCCTGGCCTCAAGTAAACCATCGTGTCCAGCCCCCATCCCCATTTTTTAACGTTGTTTAGGTTAATGGATTAACTTGTTTATATTTATTTATTATTCCTTGTGATTTAAGAATGCTTCAGTTGCTTTTCTTGAACATAATTTTGCAAAAACAAAATTATTTTGACATAAACTGGTCATTGAACATACTCTGACACAAAGAAAAATGACATTTAAAATATGATTTCAGAATTCTAAGTAAAAAAATTAAAACTCTTAAAACAAGCAGAAGTCTCTTGCTCGCTGGGGACAGAAATAGCTATTGTATAAAGCTTAGTTTTTAGACTGGCCATGGTGGCTCATGCTTGTAAACCCAGCACTTTGGGAAGCTAAGGTGAGTGGATCACTTGAGCCCAGGCGTTTGAGACTAGTCAGGGCAACATGGCTAATTTCCATCTCTACTAAAAATACAAAAAAATTAGCTGGGCATGGTGGCATGCACCTGTATTCCCAGTTACTCTAGGGGCTGAGATGGGAGGACTGCTTGAGCCCAGGAGGTTGAGGCTGCAGTGAACCATGATTGAGCCATTGCATTCCAGCCTGGGTGACAGAGCAAGACCCTGTCTCCAAAAAAAAAAAAAAAAAAAAAAAAAACTGCATAGTCACTGGCAGTCTTTCCCAGGTACTTATGCTAAGATTGAGCCATAGTTACTGAGAACTTTTTCTTTCCTCCCATAGGCTCCAGCAGCTGTTGTGCCTCCCACAGGTCCTGGAATGGCACCAGTTCCTACAGGTGTCTTCACAGATATCCCAATTAGCAACATTCGTCGGGTAAGAGAATTACCATCATCTGGAATCAGCTATTAGGGGCATCTTTACTCTAGTTGTTTAGTTGCTTCCATAGTTTTAACACATTAACAGAGGCTTTTTAAGTTGGGAATATTAGACGATTAAGGGAAGTTTTGGCCAGCTGAATACTTGAATCCATTTGTTCTATTAGAAGGGCCAGGTGCAGTGGCTCACGCCTGTAATCCCAGCATTTTGGAAGGCCGAGGCGGGTGGAACACAAGGTCTGAACTTCAAGACCAACCTGGCCAACATAGTGAAACCCCGTCTCTACTAAAAATACAAAAATTAGCTGGGCATGGTGGCGCATGCCTGTAGTCCCAGCTACTCGGGAGGCTGAGGCAGGAGAATTGCTTGAACCTGGGAAGTGGAGGTTGTGGTGAGCCGAGATCACACCACCGCACTCCAGCCTAGGCAGCAGAGCGAGACTCCATCTCAAAAAAAAAAAAAAAAAAAACCTAGGAGGTGTTATATTATGGCGGAGTCCTCCGTCTTTCAATTATAATAATGCTTGAGGTAAGTATTACCAGAGAGTAAGGTGGAGAGACAAACAGAGCCCTGAATTAGTTAAGGTCTTAACTCAAGATGATTTTTTAAAAATCTCTTTGATTTCAGGTTATTGCACAGCGATTAATGCAATCAAAGCAAACCATACCTCATTATTACCTTTCTATAGATGTAAATATGGGAGAAGTTTTGTTGGTACGGAAAGAACTTAATAAGGTAAAAGGTTTGAAAATTCCAACTTTCTAAGTTACAAAAATTTTGTCTTTCCCCACCAAACATTTATATTTTTGTCCATATATTTTGTTACAGTATGCCAGCTGGTGTTTACTTTCTTGATCTTGTCCTTTGAAGCACAAGATTTTAAATATTGGTTATGTCCACTTTATTTTTTTCTTCTGTGCTTTTGGTATTATATCTAAGAAACTATTACCTAGTCTAAGGTCATAAAGATTTACACTTATGTTTCCTTGTAACAGTTTTATAGTTTTAGTTCTTACATAGGTCTTTGCTGTATTTTGAGTTAATTTTTTGTAGGTAGTGTGAGATAGGAATCTAACTTCATTGTTTTGCATGTGGACATTTATTCTTTCATCCCAGCACCATCTTTCCCCATCGAATTATCTTGGTTTCCTTGTCAAAATTAATCATATATGTGAGAATTTTATTTCCAGATTTTTTTTTTTTTGGATCTTGTTATTTTTTGTTTTGTTTTGTTTTTTATACTTTAAATTCTGGGGTACATGTGCAGAACGTGCAGGTTTGTTCCATAGGTATACACGTGCCATGGTGGTTTGCTGCACCCATCAGCCCGTCATCTACATCAGGTATTTCTGCTAATGCTATCCCTCCCCTAACCCCTCGTCCCCCTGTATATAGGTCCTGGTGTGTGGTGTTTCTCTCCCTGTGTCCATGTGTTCTCATTGTTCAACTCGCACTTACAGTGAGAACATGCAGTGTTTGGTTTTCTGTTCCTGTGTTAGTTTGCTGAGAATGATGGTTTCCAGCTTCATCCATGTCCCTGTAAAGGACATGAACTCATCCTTTTTTAATGGCTGCATAGTATTCCATGGTGTATATGTGCCACATTTTCTTTATCCAGCATATCATTGGTGGGCATTTGGGTTGGTTCCAAGTCTTCGTTATTGTGAACAGTGCTGCAGTAAACATACGTGTACATGTGTCTTTATAGTCGAATAATTTATAATCCTTTGAGTCTATACCCAGTAATGGGATTTCTGGGTCAAATGGTATTTCTGGTTTAGATGCTTGAGGAATCGCCACACTGCCTTCCACAATGGTTGAACTAATTTACACTCCTACCAACAGTGTAAAAGCGCTCCTATTTCTCCACATTCTCTCCAGCATCTGTTGTTTCCTGATGTTTTAATGATCGCCATTCTGACTGGTGTGAGATGGTATTTCATTGTGGTTTTGATTTGCATTTCTCTAATGACCAGTGATGATGAGCTTTTTTTCATATGTTTGTTGGCCGCATAAATGTCTTTTTTTGAGAAGTGTCTGTTCATATCCTTTGCCCACTTTTTGATGGGGTCGTTTGTTTTTTTCTTGTAAATTTGTTTAAGTTCCTCGTAGATTCTGGATATTAGCCCTTTGTCAGATGGATAGATTGCAAAAATTGTCTCCCATTCTGTAGGTTGCCTGTTCACTCTGATGATAGTTTATTTTGCTGTGCAGAACCTCTTTAGTTTAATTCGACCCATTTGTCAATTTTGGCTTTTGTTACCATTGCTTTTGGTGTTTTAGTCATGAAGTCTTTGCCAATGTCTGTGTCCTAAATGGTATGGCCTAGGTTTTCTTCTAGGGTTTTTATGGTTTTAGGTCTTACATTTAAGTCTAATCCATCTTGAGTTAATTTTTGTATAAGGTGTAAGGAAGGGGTCCAGTTTCAGTTTTCTACATATGGCTAGCCAGTTTTCCCAACACCGTTTATTAAATAGGGAATCCTTTACCCATTTCTTGTTTTTGTAGGTTTGTCAAAAATCAGATGGTTGTAGATGTGTGGCGATATGTCTGAGGCCTCTGTTCTTCTGTTCTGTTCCATTGGTCTATATATCTGTTTTGGTGCCAGTACCATGCTGTTTTTGTTACTGTAGCCTTGTATTGTAGTTTGAAGTCAGGTAGCATGATGCCTCCAGCTTTGTTCTTTTTGCTTAGGATTGTCTTGGTTATATGGACCCTTTTTTGGTTCCATATGAAATTTAAAGTAGTTTTTTTCTAATTCTGTGAAGAAAGTCAATGGTTGCTTGATGAGGATAGCAATGAATTTATAAATTACTTTGGGCAGTATGGCCATTTTCATGATATTGATTCTTCTTATCTGTGAGCATGGAATGTTTCTCCATTTGTTTTTGTGTTCTCTCATTTCCTTGAGCAGTGGTTTGTAGTTCTTGAAGAGGTCCTTCACATCCCTTGTAAGTTGTATTCCTAGGTTTCTGGTTTCTTTCACCCCAGCACCATCTTTCCCCATCGAATTATCTTGGTATCCTTGTCAAAATTAATTCCAGGTATTCTGTTCTCTTTGTAGCAATTGTGAATGGGAGTTCACTCATGATTTGGCTGTTTGTCTGTTGGTGTATAGCAGTGCTTGTGATTTTTGCACACTGATTTTGTGTCCTGAGACTGCTGAAGTTGCTTATTAGCTCAAGGAGATTTTGGGCTGAGATGATGGAGTTTTCTAACTATACAATCATGTCATCTACAGAGACAATTTGACTTCCTCTCTTTCTATCTGAATACTCTTTATTTCTTTCTCTTGCCTGATTGCCCTGGCCAGAACTTCCAATACTGTGTTGAATAGGAGTGGTGAGGGGGAGAGCATCTTTGTCTTGTGCCGATTTTTGAGACTGAGTCTCACTCTGCCCAGACTGGGGTGCAGTGGCGTGATCTTGGCTCACTGCAACCTCCACCTTCCAGGTTCAAGCAATTCTCGTGCCTCAGCCTCCCAAGTAGCTGGGATTACAGGCATGAGCCACCATGCCTGGCTAATTTTTGTACTTTTAGTAGAGACAGGATTTCACCATGTTGGCCAGGTTGGTCTCGAACTCCTGACCTCAAGTGATCTACCCACCTCGGCCTCCCAAAGTTTGGGATTACAGCCATGAGCCACTGTGCCTATTTCCAGATTCTTAATTCCATTCCATTAATCTCTGTATACCCTTATGCCAGTACCATAGTCTTGATTACTTTAGCTTTGTAATAGGTTGTAAAATCAGGAAATGTGGGCCGGGCGCGGTGGCTCAAGCCTGTAATCCCAGCACTTTGGGAGGCCGAGACGGGCGGATCACGAGGTCAGGAGATCAAGACCATCCTGGCTAACACGGTGAAACCCCATCTCTACTAAAAAATACAAAAAAAAAAACTAGCCGGGCGAGGTGGCGGGCGCCTGTAGTCCCAGCTACTCGGGAGGCTGAGACAGGAGAATGGCGTAAACCCGGGAGGCGGAGCTTGCAGTGAGCTGAGATCCGGCCACTGCACTCCAGCCTGGGCAACAGAGCCAGACTCCCTCTCAAAAAAAAAAAAAAAAAAAAAAAAAAAAAAAAATCAGGAAATGTGAGTCGTCTTTGTTCTTTTTTTCTCAAGATTGTTTTGTCTGAGTCCCTTGCAATTCTAAATGAATTTTAGGATTAACTTGTAAATTTCTGCATTGAAGCCAGGTAACATTTTGATAAGGATTGATTGGATGTGTCTGCTGATCAATTTGGCAAGTGTTGCCATCCGAAGAATACTGTCTTTTCATCTGTGAACATGTAGATGCCCCTGTATTTAGTTGAGTGTTCCTCAGTCTCTTTTAACAATTTTTTTATAGTTTTTCAGAGTGTAAGTTTTGCACTCTAAATTTGCATTTGTTAAACTTATTCCTAGGTATTTTATTCTTTTTAATATTACTCTAAGTGGAATTGTTTTCTAAATTTCATTTTCAGATTTTTCATTGCTACTATATAAAGGTATGATTGTTTTTTTTTTAAGACTAGTCAGCTATTCTAGTGAGAAGTGGGGAAAGAGTAGAAAAGGAGTTATATGTATAACTGACTCTGAGCAATCAATCGAGATAACAATTGATTTTTCTATATTCATCTTTCTTTTTGTATGCCTGCTGGAATGGGATCTATATTGACCTTGTATCCTGCAAACTTGCTGAAGTTCTTACAGTTTTTTAGTGTATTTCTTAGGATTTTCTGTAAACAAGATAATGTTATCTGCAAATAGAGATAATTGTACTTTTTCCGTTTTGACCTGTATGCCTTTTATTTCTTTTCTTGCCTAATTACTCTGGCTGGCACCTCTAGCCAATGTTGAATAGATGTAGCAGAAGTGGACATCTTGTCTTGTTCTTGATCTTTGGGAGAATAAGTCTTTGATCATTAAATAGTTGTGAGGTTTCCCTAGATCAGGTTGAGCAATCCTTCCGGTTCCTAGTTAGTAAGAGTGTTTTGATCATGAAAAGGGGTATTGAATTTTATCAAATGCGAATTTTATCAAATGCTTTTTCTGTGTCTGTTGAGATGGTTATGTGTTTTTTGTCCTGTATTCTATTAGGACATTATTACGTTAATTGATTTTCAGATGTTAATGGAAATTTGCATTTTTGGGATAAATCACATTTGATCATGGTGAATGATCCTTTTTATATATTGCTGGATTTTATTTGCTAGCGTTTTGCTGAAGATTTTTACATCTATATTCGTAAGAGATTATTGTAGTTTTTTTGTTTTTTTTTTTTTTCTTCTAATGTCATCTTTGGTTTTGGTATCAGGCTAATACCGGTCTTATAGAATGTTAGTTATAGGTCTGTTCGGAGTTTTTGTTTCTCTTTGGTTCAGTTTTGGTAGCTTATGTCTGTATGGTCGTTCATAGTATTCCCTATAATTCTTTTTACTTCTGTAAGGTAGATAGTAATGTCCCCTGTTTCACTCCTAATTTTAGGAATTCTGGTCTTCTCTCCTCTTCTTGGTCAGTCTAACTAAACATTTATCATTGTGGTTGTCATTTGGTTGATCTTTTCAAAGAACCAAATTTTGTTATTGTTGTGATGAATGAAAATTATGACATAATATACCATAACTTACGGGATATGCTAAAGCAGTACTTACCAGAAAACAGCTGTAAGAGTCTGCATTTAAAAAGATGAAGGAACCAATGTTTGGTTTCATTTGTTTCTTTCTACCTCAGGGTATTTGTATATTCATTCTCTTTCTCCTCCTCCTCCTTTTCTCAAGATTATACAGTTTTACTCTTTGGTGAGAGAATTTAGAAACTACAGTTGTCCGGGGAGGGAGAACATTAGGAAAAATAGCTAATGCATGTGAGGCCTAATACCTAGGTGATGGGTTGACAGGTGCAACAAACCACCATGGCACATGTTTACCTATATAATAAACTTGTATATCCTGCACATGTACCCTGAAACTTAAAATTAAAAAAAAAAAAAAAGGAAACTACAGTTGTTCTTGTCTTTCCAGATTTTAGAAGGGAGAAGCAAAATTTCTGTCAATGACTTCATCATAAAAGCTTCAGCTTTGGCATGTTTAAAAGTTCCCGAAGCAAATTCTTCTTGGATGGACACAGTTATAAGACAGTAAGTATAACTGGGGACGATATATATCCATCACTAGTTTTCTTATTTAATATGTGAATAGGAGTTGAGGGGATAAGGATAAATGGAATACAGAGAGGCAGATCGCTTACATAGGTCAAACAACTTGAAAACAACACAAAAATATTTATGAGATACTGCTTTTTACGTTTTTTCCTTTCTGGCTCCAATTTTCAACCTTGTTTTTGTTGTTGTTTTTTATTTATTTTTTAAAGAGACAGGGTCTTGCTCTGTTGTCCAGGCTGGTCTTGAACTCTTGGGGTCAAGCAGTTCTACAGCCTTGGCCTCCCAAAGTTCTGGGATTTCAGGTGTGAGCCACTGTGCCCAGCCTGAGATACTGCTGGATTTAGCTTGTAAAGGCTATAGATTCTTTGTATGAGTTCAGCAAAGGGAGATTAGTGAACAAATACGTGTAATTAAGTTGATAATGACTGTCACAAAGTAGGGTTAAATAGGTGATTTTCATTCACCCATGAGTTCTCCTGAGCTTCAGGGGCAAAATTAAAACGAGTACTTGTTAATATTATGATGGTATAGAGTAGTATGGTACTCATTGTGTCTCTTTTATCTCATTTAATTCTCATGACCACCTTATGATATAAGTGCTTTCACTTCCATCTCTAGGTGAAGAAACTGAGGCTCAGTGAGTTAAGTAACTTGCCCGAGTTAATAAGTTAGTGTTAGGACTGTGATTAGAGCTAAGATTCTGACTCCTAAGCCTATTCGTTTTCTAATGTGTAGATGCTTTTATGTTATTCTTATTCTGAAAAGAAACAAACAAACTTTTTTCCTTTGTACTTTACTGTCACACAGTCACAGCACCAATTCTGTGACCAGATGAGTAGAGGCAGGGGTGAGGAGGGTTTCCCCACACACCAGCCAAGCAGTGAATTCTGCAGTGAGTTCCTCTAATTCAATTAAATTCAATTTTGGTGCTGTCTACCTGTAGATAGTGTCAGATCCCAAAGATTGAGGGCTCAGTCCTACAAGACTGCCCTCACTTCAGATGCCAGTCAAAAGTGTAGGCCACTCATACTTGTAACTGACTGGCTACAAACTGGTTCCTGTGACCTCTTTCTTGGGTTTGATTAACTTGCTAGGACAATTCACAGAATTTGGGGAAACACTTATGTTTATTATAAAGGATATTGCAAAGGATACGGGTGAACACCAGATGAAGAGATGGCTAGGGCGAGGTATGAGGTGGGGTGGTGCAGAGCTTCCGTATCCTCTCTGGGCATACCACCCTTCCAGTACTTCCACAGTTCAGCAACTGGAAGCTCATTAAATCTTGTTGAAGAGTCTTGATAGTGGGGGCTGTGGAGAAAAAGGAAAGGGGAAAAAAAAGTCTTTGTAGAGCTTGATCTCCAGGATCTCCAGCCTACATCTCCCTCACCTGTCCCTTAGGTCAGTAGGTAGAGCTAAAAGTTCCAACTCTCTAATCCTCTAGTCATTTTGACCCTTCTAGTGACTGGCCCCGTCCCGAGGTTACGCAGGGATCCTGCCGTAAATATCCACAATGGAGCTTATTATATAAGGGGCTCATTATAAATAACAAAAGATACTCCTATCACTCAGGAAATTCCAGTTTTAGGGTCTCTATGACAGGAACTGACAACATGGGAACAAAGACCCAAGTATATATTATACCACACTTACTAATATTTATTCATATTTTAGGGCCGGGCTCACACCTATAGTCTCAGCACTTTGAGAGGCCGAGGCGGGTGGATCACTTGAGGTCAGGAGTTCAAGACCAGTCTGGCCAACATGATGAAACCCTGTCTCTAGTAAAAATACGAAAATTAGCTGGGTCCCGTGGTGGTGCATGCCTGTAATCTCAGCTACTTGGGAAACTGAGGCAGGAGAATTGCTTGAACCCAGGAAGCAGAGGTTGCAGTGAGCTGAGATTGTGCCATTGCAGTCCAGTCTGGGTGATAAGAGCAAAACTCTACCTCAAAAAAAAAAAAAATTTTAATATTAAATTTAGGTTGGAATACTGTTCCCTTAATAAGAGGTCAGTTCCCAGGAGGCAAACACAACGGTTTTTTTTTTTTTGGGGGGAGGGGGGAGACAGAGTCTCTCTCTGTCACCTAGGCTAGAGTGCAGTAGCACGATCTTGGCTCACTGCAACCTCCGCCTCCCGGGTTCAAGCAATTCTCCTACCTCAGCCTCCTGAGTAGCTGGGATTACAGGTATGAGCCACTACTCCCAGGCAATTTTTTTGTATTTTTAGTAGAGATGGGGTTTCACCATATTGGCCAGGCTGTTCTTGAATTCCTGACCTTGTGATCAGCCACCTTGGCCTCCCAAAGTGCTGGGATCACAGGCGTGAGCTACCACGCCTGGCCCTTAAACACAACTTTTAAACTATTGTTTATTCTGGTATTTATTTACCTGCAGATTTCCAAATATTTTTCTGTTGCCTTTTATGAGTTTTTCATTTATTTTATTGACTGACTTCCTGTTAAAGAACATTAATATTTAGCTTTAGCTGCAGTCTGGGGACTAGAGAAAAAAAAAAGGTAGCTTTGTTATGCCCTTCCTACATACACACACATAACATCATCCTCCCAAATTGATTATAGCACAAATAATCCATATTTGGGGCTGGGCAAGGTGGCTCCCACCTGTAATCCCAGCACTTTGGGAGACCAAGGCAGGTGGATCACCTGAGGTCAGGAGTTTGAAATCAGCCTGGCCAACATGGCGAAACGCTGTCTCTGCTAAAAATACAAAAAAAAAAAAACAACAACAGCAACAACAAAAAAAAACCTTAGCCAGGTGTGGTGGTGCACGTCTGTAGTCCCAGTTAATCGGGAAGATGAGGCAGGAGAATTGCTCGAACCTGGGAGGTGGAGGTTGCAGTGAGCCAGAATCGCGCCGCTGCACTCCAGCCTGAGTGAGAGTGAGACTGCATTTCAAAAAATAACAAATAAATATAAATCTATATTTGGTTAACCTTTTTTTTTTTTTGAGACGGAGTCTTGCTCTGTTCCCCAGGGTGGAGTGCAGTGGCGCGATCTCAGCTCACTGCAAGCTTCGCCTCCTGGGTTCATGCTATTCTCCTGCCTCAGCCTCCCGAGTAGCTGGGACTACAGGTGCCTGCCACCTTGCCCGGCTAATTTTTTTTTGTATTTTTAGTAGAGACCAGGTTTCACCGTGTTAGCCAGGATGGTCTCGATCTCCTGACCTTGTGATCCGCCCGCCTCGGCCTCCCAAAGTGCTGGGATTACAGGCTTGAGCCACTGCGCCCGGCCTGGTTAATCTTTTTAGAGTATGTGTGTGTCCAGTGTTAATATTTGTATGCCTATGAAAATAATTTGTATGACTAAGACATGTATTATACTATGAATGCTAACCTAATTGATTTTAGTAATTGCTTTAGGGAAGGCTAGTTTTCTATGTACATGTCAATTCTTTCTGAAACTCCACAAGCTAGGAGGGGAGTTTCAGAAACCATTAAACCATTTCTTAATCTGATCAAACCTATTGGGTAAACTCTTGGTTCTAACTTTTCCTTGGTCATTCTTCTCCTGGAGAACATCTGGGCATATAATATTCTTTATAAATTGTATAGTTTTCTAGGGCTACCATTATTAATGACCACAAAATTGATGGATTAAAACAAATTTATTCTCTCACAGTTCTGGAAACAAGTCTGAAATCAGGGTTTCAGCAGGGGCAATGCATTCCCTCCAAAGACTATAGAGAAGAATCCTTCCTTGCCTTTTCCAGTTCTGGTGTTTCTAGGCATTTAGTGGTTTGTGATTGCATAACTCCAGTCTCTTCTTCCATCTTTACATGGCTTTCTCCTCTGTGTCTGTATTTTCTCTCCTCTTAAGAGGACTGTTGGCATTGGATTTAGGGTCACTCAGATAATACAGGATGATCTTATCTCAGGATCCTAATTATACCTCCAGAGACCTTTTTCCAAATAAGGTCACATTGATAGATTCCAGGGATTAGGACAAAGACTTATCTTTTGGAGGGCCACCATTCAGCCCACTAAACAGAGTTTAAATTAGTCTTCCTGTTTTCAGCATTATTCATATTACTGACTCACGGAGAGTTTTCTGGAGCCTGGCAGAAATAGCTTGCTTAAGGCATTGACAGTCTTCAGTAATTCATTCAAGGCCTATTTTTAACTATTGTACCTCTCTAAACCCCTCTTCTTGTGCCATTCTGAGTTAGCCACTGTTACTGAACATACCTTTCAGTTATCTCCTTTTAGGATGCTGTTTGGGCTTTCCTGTTCCTTGCTTTTAGATGCATTCCTTTTCCATGCTATGGCCACCATGATGATTGTCACAGCAGCAAACATTCAAGGAATTTATATTCCTTAAATATAAATACAGGATACTTAAAATCCAGATAGAGGCAGGTTTGGTTTTTTTTTTTTTTAAATATTCCTTTAATTCCCCTCTGTGCCAGCATATAGACACTTTTTTTTTTTTTTTTTTTTTTTTTTTTCTGAGGTGGAGTCTTACTCTGTTGCCAGGCTGGAGTACAGGGATGCTATCTCGGCTCACTGCACCCTCCGCCTCCCAGGTTCGAGCGATTCTCCTGCCTCAGCCTCCTGAGTAGCTGGGATTATAGGCACATGCCACCATACCCAGCTAATTCTTGTATTTTTAGTAGAGATGGGATTTCACCGTGTTGGCCAGGATGGTCTCAATCTCTTGACCTCGTGATCTGCCTGCCTCAGCCTCCCAAAGTGCTGGGATTTTGGCATGAGCCACTGTGCCTGGCCGCATGTTGACACTTTTTAACACTTTAATTTGCCATCTTACATATCATAAAATGATATGTGTACACAAATGCTCTAAGTGTACAATTTCTTGATTTTTGTTGAAGGTACGGAATTATGCAGTCTTTACCACAATCTTATTTTAGAAATTTCTATCACCCCCAGAAGATCACTCATGCTTATTTATAGTAAATTCTTATTTTCACCTTCAGCCCCTGGGCAATCTGTTCTA